CGTTGAAGAACTCCGGCCAAAGTTTATCAAACGCTTCTAAATCCAACGCAGAAAATGCAAAGGACTGGATTGTCCAACCCGCTTGTATCAGCTGGGATGCTGTAGCAGGATCAACGCCACACGCTGACATAACATCTTCCAAAGTTTTGGAAGTCATGACGCACGCTCCGACGCTGTCCAGGTGAACCCAGACTAAATGAGAAAGTTCATGTAAATAAATGTCTCATAAATTGACATCATGTGCAACGGAAATTAAGGTCCGGACTAAATTTTGGATATGGTCCTGACGTAGGTCGTGTGATGCCTGGCATCATATGGATTGGTTCTTTTGTGGTTTCTGCTTTTTTTTATTTTTTTTTGAAATGGCTGCGGTCGGAACATATAAGTGAAGACTGAATTCAACAACATGTGGTGAACGCAAATGGGCATGTTGATTGCATTGAAATGATATGCTGACGCTCAGCTCCCTGCACGGGGTTGTCTGGATATTAAAACGCAGTGATCAACAAGCTGAAAAGGAAAGAGCGCAACCGCTTTTTTGACTTGTTCCATGCTGCCTGTTGCGAGTCAACTAATTTGGACAGCTTTCCAAATTTTCTTGCAACCTGCATGTTGGCAAAATGCCACTGGTGGTTGCAACTCTTCAAGAAACTCCGTTTCCGAATGTAACATCCTGGCGCACATGCAGCTTTCCAGTAATGGTTTCTATGGAACGGTCTGGATTCATTGTCATCTACTGTCGCCACCATCGCATGAGTGACTTTCCTGTGCTTTGCAAAAGTGGCTTCATCGGCCTGACAGGGGTCTGGCACCAAAGCTTTTTTGTTTGCGTTTGGCTCCAACTCTTCTGAACTGGAACTATCGCCCTGGCTGCTATCGCTGGAGGACTCAGTATCGGAGTCCAGTTGTTCAACCTCCAGGCAGGATTTCATGAGGATCTTCAGGTTTGGAAAAAGGAAGCCATTGAAACAAATAATCTGGTGCGGTCTTCTGGAACCGTTCCAAAGTGACAGTCGGTTCTGTCAGAGGAAATTGTCCTCCCCTGTGTTGGGCTGTCTTGGGACGCCAGCCTTTCTGTATCTCCATAATGATCGTCGATTGATATCGTAAGGAGCCCCAAACGCTGTCTCTTCCATACAAATTCAATGAATGCTTGGGGTCTTGGTGGTGACCCTGCAGTAATCGGTCTGAGTCGCTGACCAGGGATCCCAATTGCGGGCCAAAACTCAAAAGAGTGGCTTTCATGGAGTGGAGAGTATATGTTTGTTGTAAATGAGCCAGTGGATGTTGATCCTGAAACTTCTTCCATGGGGTCAACAGCATCGCACGAAAAATGCGTGTGGTCTCCGCGTAGTTCAGTGGCTCGAAAACCTGAAAAGTTCCATCTGGCTCCATGGATGGGATCAAGAAATCCACCTTGGATCGTTGTAATTGTAGTGATGTCATCACCTGGTCCCAAGTCTGCAAAAACTTAAATAACCATGTGTATGTCCCTTTGCTGCAAAGTCCTGCCGCTTGTGCACCGAAGGGGTGTCCTGCAGCCATTGTCTTGGATCGCCATACCAAGCCACGGAGTTCCTGAAAATTGAAGACCAATGAATCAATGTTCAAACGCTGTGCATCAGCGAAACGAAGACCTGCCCAGGTTATCAAAAGAAAGGCTCCAAGCATCATCACTTCGTATGTAGTGGAGGCCCCTTGTAGGATCCTACGCTCCCACCGAAAAATCACCCACAGGGGCAGAGGAGGTGCTTCTCGACGGTCTTTACTCAGCTTTGTTTTCAAGAAACTGTCCACCAGAGGAGAAAAACAAATCATCAAGTGGGAAACTCCTGCAATTTTATGCCACCAACGCAGTGCTTTGATTGTGAAATTTCCTGAACAAACGTCTCTGTCAGTCTCACATGACTTCGATAATCGCATGACTGTCAATACATCTGCAAGCTGAGATTCTGACAGGGTATGCATGTCCAGGCCAAGTTGTGCAGTGACCCGTGCAAACTTCTGGACCGCTTGTAAATATCGAAACGACGTAGTGGCAGCATAATTGTTCAGAAGTCTCTTGCGATGTTCATCAGCGTAGGGTGAGGAATTCAAGGACGTATACACTGCAGATGAATTGCCAAAAAGTTGCAATAAAGTGGTGAACAGTTCAACCAAAAAAGCATTGTCACTGGCCAGTTTCGATCTAGTCAATTGAATCGACGTTGAGCTCCGTACCAGCTGGGGCTGAGCAACTGCTGTCCGACCCTTATTCACTGGAGGGCGAGGCAACGCCTTTTCTGTACTGGGGCACAATGCAGGGACAACCATCTTGGGTTCCAAAGGTTCTGACAACATGGACGGCTGTGCACGCATGGTCAGACTGTCTGGGTGATACTCTGTGCGGTTGGTTCTGAGGTATGGGGAACCAACACATGAAACATGGTGAGACAGCGTACTGCGAATTGGTTGATACGCTGGTGCTGCTTTAGGCTCGGAATCTAAGAGTCCAGCCACGGTCAACCTGGGACCTACCTGAGTTGTTCTGGGCACCCCTATGACGGGAACCGGAGAAACCTGCCATCTAGCTTGGAGTCGAGGTTGGACTGAAAAATCCGGCCGACTCAGTGGACATGTCTTGGGTGTGGGTTGCATCAGCTGCACTGGTGTTGAATCACAAATGAGGTCCCAACCATCCTCAATCGGAAGATCCATCGTCAGCCACTGAAGGTGTCTCAATCACTCGAAAACGAACTGCACAACGAAAAATGCGATGTGAACACCAGCTGAAACGCCAAATATCCCGTGGCAATGTTCTTTCTTCTGAATGTTGATCGTACAAGAAGGAAACTATGAGTGTGCACAACTCTAATCTGAAATGGGATGCAAAAATTTCTGTCCACTCCGGGTTCCGACGACGCAAAGCCAGCATTGCAAGCCCGGGCTACACCGGGATGTGCCGCGGTCTTGTCAGTGACCGTGAAAAGTGAAAAACATGTTGCAAACAAGTCAACCCACACAGTGACCATGACAAGCAGAAAAAGTGAAGCTGTGGTTTGTTGAAGCACGTGTTCTGTTTGTTTTTTTAGTTAAAACAGCATGAAAAACGCAAAACAAGATTGAAGTCCTTGAGCCAAAATGTTTCAGGGGAAACAAAGATCTGAAAGTACCCCCTAAAACATAAACGAAACAAGTACGTTAAACAAATGAAAAAAACATTGTACATAGCAAGATTTTGCAGTGTTTTTGGATGCCAGAGCATTGAAAACACTGCAAAAACAAGTGTCTTGGACTGACGTTATAGCAAAAAACGTGTAAATTACCGTATGCTTGACTGGAAACATTACAAAAACACTGTCAAAAGCAATGTTTTGGAAGGATTTACTGCCTTTATGGCAAAAAACGTGTAAATTACCGTATGCTTGACTGGAAACATTACAAAAACACTGTCAAAAGCAATGTTTTGGAAGGATTTACTGCCTTTATGGCAAAAAACGTGTAAATTACCGTCTGTTTGACTGGAAACATTGGAAAAACACTGTCAAAAACAATGTTTTGGAAGGATTTCTTATTTATATATATATATATATATATGTTGGAGTTGGCTACCGGCATTGGAACATGGAAAAACTGAAGAAAACACTGTAAATAGCGGTATTTTCAACGGTTGGGGAGATAAGGGAATTGGAAGCATTGTCGAACATGATGTTTTCGACCGGTTTTATGGCGACAAAAGTGTAAAGTACCGTGCTTTGAAGGAAACCATTGCAAAAACATGGAAACACAGAACACGGGATTTGGGGGACTATCTAGGCGTCGTTGTCTAGCTATTGAAATTCCGCAGCTTGGAGAGCCTCCAAGGGAGGGAAAAGTGAAAATTCCATAGCTTGGGAAGCTGTCACGGCGGGGAAAAGTGAAAATTCCCTAGCTTGGGAAGCCCCCACGGGGGGGAAAAGTGAAAATTCCCTAGCTTGGGGAGCCCCCACGGGGGGGGAAAGTGAAAATTCTTAGCTTGGGAAGCTTCACGGGGGAAAAGTGAAAATTCCCTAGCTTGGGAAGCCCCCACGGGGGGGAAAAGCGAAAATTCCCTAGCTTGGGGAGCCCCCACGGGGGGGGAAAGTGAAAGTTCCACACCACCCTTAGCCCCTCTCAACCTGCGGTGTGGGCGGCCACCCCACGCGAAGCGGGGTGAATATGGTTTGCAGTGTGTTTGCCTGTGAAAGTTTTACGTGGCAGCAATGCTATGATTACAAATTTTAAACTGAAAATAGAACGACAAAACACAAACACCGGAGAATCGAAAATAGAACGATAAAGCACTGAAAATTGCGAATGTTGGGGTGGGACTTGTGGAAACACCTTTCGCGTAGAATAGGCCCACAGACGCGGTAAAATTCCAACCCAACGCCGCACATCAAATGCGAACGATGATGTTTGGAATTGTGCTGGGTCAACCAAACATGAACCAATTAAGTGCATGTTTTAACCCCAAGAAATCCTAAAATCTCAAAAAGTACATTCTTGCGAAAAGTGATCCTCAAAAAGGTTGTCGCCGAGGATTCATAGCAATGCCGAGGATTCCCGGCCGAAAATTTTATAATTTTTTCGAAAATTCTACAGCCGAACGTTTGTAGCATTGATACAGCTGTGCCGAAGATTCTACGGCGGAAGTTTATATAATAGTAGTGCTAGATGTTTTGTTTCAACATACCACGTCCCATCCCCACTGAGGCAGCCAACATCTATTTTTCCAAATTCAATGTTTGTGATGATTTACTGTTGTCGTTTTTCTGGCCTGGACATTCAACCGCAAAATTTCAAGCCCGTTTTTGGACGTTCTTGTTTTGTTTTGGGGTGGTGAACTAACGGGGTTACAAATGAACGATTTTCATTGCTAAAAAAATTGTCATCAAGAATGGGCTGCTCACGCTTTGCTCACGCTTGCTCACGTTTTGCTCACGCCCGCCGAGGTTCCGTTTGAGTCCTTTAGGTTCCTTTTGGGTCCTTACGAGGTTCTTTTTGGGTCTCTACGAAGAACTGCTCACGCTTTGCTCATGCTTTGCTCATGCTTTGCTCACGCTGCCTTTGATGAGGAAAACAAAAGCAAACCATGTCACACTTTTTTGGTTCGAGCCGTGTGCGCCTAAGGCACACAGTTTTCAGCCTGCAGACTCCTTGAAACTGAATTTCAAATTTGAAATACCTGCGTAGGAACAAACCACGCACCACTCACAACCCTTTGCTGAAGCGAGGTTGCCACACCCCTGCCTCAGCCTGAGATATGTATCTATATATATATATTTATTTATTTATATATGTATAAACATATGTGTGTCCAACGTTCCTTGTGAGCCCAAAGAACCCAGAAGTACATCTATAATATCATGGTATTATGACACGTTCCTTCTTAGCCCAAAGGACCCAAAAAGTACATCTATGAATGGTATTGCACAACGTTCCTTTTAGGCCCAAAGAACCCAAAAAGTACATAGTCCCAACTATGCTGAACATGTTCCTTTTGGTACCAGTTTCTACGAGATCTCATAGGACCTCAAAAAGTTGTCCCTTAGACTTGCTGGGAACCGTTCTGCCAAGAGTGTGAGTGCGCAGCACAAACTTGCACGAAAGGGGCCCAGCACAAACACCATGCAATGCACATGGCAGTGATGTGAAAAGTGACCCTTACTCACCTTCAGCTGCCCTCCCAGAAATGGGACCCAAAAAGCTTGGCATTTAGGCATTTAGGGTGTGACGAGTGTGGGTCCTCATAGTAATGAACTTCGGGATATAAACGATGCAAGAAACAAATAAGGAGCACAGGAAACAACAAGAACGCAAGGAAATAAAGCGAAGTGAGCGCAATAGTCCAAATAGAGCATGCATGGAAATACATCATGAATTCAGGGCAGCGAGCAAGGAACCGGAAGCACTCCAGCAGCTCAATAAAGAGTTCTGGGAAATGAATATGGGACTCAAGGAAATAAAAGAGGCACCTGGGGACATAAATACGGGATTGATGGACATAAATCAGAAACCCCGGAAACAAAAAGACGTTCAGGGTCAAGAACTCTGGGAAACAAAAAGAGGTTCAGGGAAATAATAAAGCGACGAAAATAGCTCCAAAACCCGGATTCTTAGCAATGAAAACGTGTCACCCAATAGTAAAGGTCTTAGGGCTTTAGGGTGGCCTGTGAAGGGCGTGGCCGCCGTACCACAATTTTTTGCGCTGGTTCTCCCCCAACATCTTTGACTTATGCGGTCTGCATGGACATTCCTGCGCACAGTATTCTACAGCAGAACCCAAAAAGACACAAGTGTTGAAAATTGCTGCTGCTGCCAATCCGCCTTTACAGCGCGTCCACCTCAGGTCTCAGTACCTCCAAGTTGAGGCCCATTTCTAGCCCTTCAAAACAGCTCATATTTTGGTCGCGTTCATTTGGGTCCCTGGTTTCAATTTTTTGGGGTCGGATTTCTTTCTTTTCGTTCGCGCCGCGCTTGTCATAATCAAGCCAAATTGTTCACAAAATGTGGCACTAAAAATGGGCCTGGCCCGCAGCCCCATTTTTGGAACCTATGGGGGCCATTTCTGTGGCCGTTCCGAAACAAGGTTCAATGGAATTGGGGGACCAAAATTGGATCCCCAAAAAACGCAAATTGATGACCCAAAATTGGTGCCAATTTTTGAGCCTCTCTTTTGACACCATTTGCTTACCGCGTGATGCTGTTGAAACATGGGAGGCCCACATGACGAGACCGTTTTTCCAACTTAAATCAAGCCCCATTTCCAGGCCCATGAAACCACGCAGAAGTCAAAGCCATATCCCAAATTGCGCCTCGTATTGTTCAATTGTTCAAAAAGCTCCGCTGCCGAACGCAGATGTGTGTGCGAGGGTGTTCTTGCGTCAATGTGATTTAATTATAAGGATGAGCGTCGTTTGGCG